AGAGAGAGAGAGAGAGAGAGAGAGAGAGAGAGAGAGAGAGAGAGAATTCTTGATAAATGGATGTCTAGATTTACTTTGTTTCTACAATGAAAATATGCCAGGAAAGTGCTAGCCAGACTTCCAAAATCTTCTCAACCCCCATCAGTTTTCCTCATTCAATTAAGTAATCTGCACATTCAAGACTAATTATGTAACCTGGAATAAAGTTCTTCCAATTTGGTGTTCTCCAAATTTTGTGATGCAGTTCTCAGCTGGAAAAAATAAGTATCCTGCCAGCAAGAGGAGCATACAGGGCGTGTAGGGGAGGAGGCACACAAAATTAAAACAAGTCCGAGTGCACATGTGTTAAAGTTTCAGATGGATGCTGAAGAGGGCACAGAGGAATATGAGGTTAAGCAGATATGACTTTAATAGCACAGAGACATGCTATGGCTATTCAGCAGAAGAGGCCAGTGCTATACTTGGGGAACAGTACCGAGGTCCTGAAGAACTTTGTGGGTACTCCCTCCATCACCTTCGTATCAGGGGCCCTACTCCTTCCTGCAACGGGCCATCAGCCTTCGGCAACGGGCCTCCTCCTCCCGGTATACCCTTTTGTCTATTTCCCCCAGTACCCATTTCCTACGGAGGTTCCTCTTTCGTCTCATCCCTCTAACCACCTCCTTTCGCATCCATGGCGGCACTCTCCTCCGCCTCCCCACCTTACTGACTAGAGGTATCGTCAAGGCTTGCGCCTCCAAAACCTCCCTTTTGAGTGCCATCTACCTCTCCTCAACTCACTTGCCTTCCAGTAACCTATCCCAGGAGGCTTTCCCCAGTCTGGCCTTCAGTTGGCCAAAATTGGCCCTCCTGAAGTCCCAGCTTCTAGTGCTCGACCTGCTGCACGTCCCCAGTCCCCTGATCCCAAAGCAAAGGATGGAGTGATCACTTGCATCCAGAGCTCCCCTAATCTGTACTTCATCTATCAGCTCCTTCCTATTGGTCAAGACCAAGTCAAGGATGTTTCCCCCCTCGTCGCCTCTCAAACCCTCTGTGTGAAAAACCCTCCTTCTATAGCTTCTAGGAAGCAACGTGACCTGGCTGTCACCGCCGAGTGAGTCTCCCAAGTAATATCCGGGAGATTGAAATTTCCCATAATTACTGTATCTCTCCCCCAAGATATCCTTAGAATCTGGCCTGTCCGGACATCATCCAGGGTCTCAAGTTGACCTGGAGGGCGATAACATACCCCCACTGTCAGGTCTCTTTCCCTGTCAAAACCCTAAGTTTCACCCAGACTGCCTCTACCGAATCCCCATCTGTGCTGCATTCTATCTCACTGCATCCTATCCCTTCCCTGACCTATAAAGCCACGCCCCCACCTCTCTTTCCCTTCCTGTCCTTTCTAAAAAGGTGATACCCTTCTATGTTCACATTCCAGACTTGCCTTTCATCCCACCAAGTTTCTGTGATTCCCACCAGGTCATACCCTCCTCTTCCCAGGAAAGCTTTAAGCTCTTCCTGCTTGTTACCCATGCTCCTAGCATTGGTGTACATGCACCTCAACTCCTTCCCACCGCTTCCTTTCCTTGGAGTTCCCAGCCTCCTCCTTCCTCCCATCCTCCCTGATACCTGGCCCCTCTCTGTAGGAGTCCTGTCAGTCCCTGCAGTATCTCTAAAACGCTGCTCCCAGAGCCCTGATCCTCCCCACACACTTGTCCCGTGCAGACATATTACTGGGGGGCCTGAACCCACCCACCCCCCGGCTCAGTTTAAAGTCTTCCAGATGAAGCTTGCTAGAGCATCTCCAAAGGACCTTTTCCCCATCCTCGTGAGGTGTAACTCGTCCCTTGCCAGAAGTCCATTGGCAAGAAAATGAGTGCCATGGTCGAGGAACCCGAAGCGTTCCTTCTGGCACCACACCCTAAGCCAGTCGTTCACCTCGGAGGCCCTCCTGTCCCTTCCTGGCCCAAATCCCCGGACAGGTAAGATTGACGAGAAGGCCACTTGGGCCTTTAACTCCCCGAGTTTCTTCCCCAAGGCCTCAAAGTCCCTGGTGGTCCCAACCACACCCTGCCTGGCCACATCGTTTGTGCCCACATGGATCACCAGGAGCGGCTGGTGACCCCCGGAGCGAACAAGACGCTCCACTCTGTCCTTCACATGCCGGAGGCAGGCAGCAAACCTCCCTTGTCTCCAGGTTGGGGCAGCACACCGTCGGCTCAGTGCCCCTCAGCAGGGAGTCCCCAACAACAATCACCCGCCGCCATACCTTCCTGGTGCTGGTGGGCGGCCGTGCCCTGGCCCTCGCCTCTCCTGCAGCGGCCCCCTTGCCACCCGATGTCCCAGGCTGGGGGTCCTGCTGGTCCCCTGAGGCCTCATCAGCCCCAGCCTCCCCGAGTGGAGAGAACCTGTTTCCCAGCTCCAGATTGGTGCCAGGAGAAGGAGGAGGCCGTGATGGCCTCCTCCTCCTGTGGGTGACATGCCTCCATGTCTCCGCAGCTGCTCCTCCCGTGGCCTCTCCCTCAACCCTCTGTCCAGAGGGGGGCTGCTCCGGGGGGCCTGGAGAGCTCTCTCAGCCCTCAGGCACCTCACCTCCTCCTCTAGCAGGGTCACCATCTTGCACCGAGGGCAAGTGTACCCCTGCCTCTCCTGGGGGAGAAGGGCGAACATGTCGCAGCTCTCGCAGCGGCAGCAACACCCGTGACTCCCGCCAAGGCCATCTCCTGGCCTGCCATTGGAATCCCTTCTGAGACCTTACCTTGGTCTCCTGCCTTGTTTGTCCTGGAGTTCCTCTCACTCGCCCAGTTCTCCCAGACAAAAACCCACTCGCACACACACACAAGGATAAAATAAACTTACATTTGTAAAATAAACTTAAATTTAAATTGGAGGAAAAACGAAGGAAAGCACAGCACAAACAAACAAAAAGAAACAAACAAACAATCAAACCTCTGTGTCTCAAGGAAGGGAGCCTCTGGACATCCCAGGCTGCAGACAAGGGACGCAGACAAGGGACGATGCCTTATCAGCCCCTCTGGCCTTTGGCCCCGCCCCCTGCTCCCTCCTGGCCCCTCCCACCTCTCTGGCCCCGCCCCCTTCCTCTCCGCTGCTCCTGGCCCTCTGCTCCCCTGCCCAGCTCCTACCTTGCCTTCGCCAGTCCCCTGGTCACTCTGCGCTCTCTCCCAGCCTGTGCCTCTGCTGCTCTGCTGCTCTGCCAAGAGGCCAGAGCCAAGAGGGGTAATCTTTATGCTAATCGGATTCCTCTATAAATGTTGCAGCTAATTATCCCTGCTTCATCCCCCCCCCCCCCCATCTCCTGGAGAAGACCATCATGCCAGGGAAAGTTGAAGGGAGAAGAAGAAAAGGAAGACCAGATATGAGATGGATGGACTCCATCAGGGAAGCCACAACCTTGAGTTGACAAGAGCTGAACGGGGCCCGTCATGAATAGGACTTTTTGGGGGGCTCTTATCTACAGGCTTGCCATAAGTTAGAAACAACTTGGCAGCACATAACAAAAGAAAAATTAGCTGCTAAAAGACAGATAAAATAAACCAGGGAAAAAAGAAGTTTGGTATTTACAGCTTCTTCTTTTTTCTTTTTTTGCCTGCCTCCAGAGGATCATTTGGAATTCTGTACAATCTGACCCTAGCTTATATATGTCTGTTTTTACTGAAATGTAGCGATTTGCCAGAATCAAACAGTGAGCATCTGATCAAGACATTCCTTTTAGTGAAGTTATGGATGCTAGCCACCAGGTCTTCCATGCTCCAGTTTCCTTCTCTGCTCTGAGGAGCCCTTGAATTCCCAGGAGCTTCCAGTTCATTGTGCAACCAACCTGATGGGTAAGGAAGGGTCTCCAGCATCCCACCAGTCTTTTGGTGGGCTGATGTACATGCACCACAGCTCCCAGCTGTATCCGTGCGCTGAATTTTCATAGCGCTGAACCTCAAATGTGTCTTGCTTGATGTTGTCAATGGAAGGCAGGATCACCCTTTTCCGGTTTTCCTGGATGCGTGAGAGGACCGGCTCAGCCCTGGAAGAGAAAAAGGAACCACCCATGTTGAAGGAAGGGGTACACAACACCGATACACATAATAGAACCTGATGCTGTAAGACAACGGTAAAAACACAACCAAAACGGTAAAAACAAACTCAAGCCAGCAACAGCAGGAAACATTCTGCAAAAGAGCAGTCACCCAAAGAAAATAAAACTTTACACAGGCCATTACAGAACCAGTCCAAGGAAACATAAAGGGACGGAATAAAGTCTCTTACTCTGCCTTTTTATTTTCCCGTTATTTTAATTGTTAATTGGTTTTAATTGTGGTTATAATATTTAATCAGTGGATGCTGTGCCATTTTTATTTATATTTATTTTAGATGTGCTTGTTGTAAACCATCCCGAGATGCCAGTAATGGGACAGTCTATAAAAGCTTTAAATAAAATAAAGAAAGAAAGTAAATTTTCCAGGCTACATGTAAATATTAGCTCCCTTTACACACGTTTGAGAGGGTGGACACAGCTTGATTTGTCAGAAGTTTGCGAAGTCCTGGGAGATCCCAGTTTGTTCCCAGTTGGGCTCATTCTCCCCCTTTTGCAGCATCATCTTCGGCTTTCCTCAGGTAAGATCAGATATCTGGTAGGCCCCTCCATTTCAAAAAGCTCTCCCTGATATCAGTATGTGGGGAATGTGCAACATGGGGGAGAATTCCCCTGATGGGGGTGGAACAGTGACTCTGGCACATGCCAATTATTTGCCACAAGACTGTTGGTGAAGTGGGCTTCTTTCTTACACCAAGACAGCTTGCAGGCCCGTGTCTGCCATCGACCCTGTATTTTGTCCCCATAATGCTGAAACCCTTCCCAATCTTGTTTATAAAAGGAGCTCTGAGCATGGCAGCTTAGGTGAAGCATCGTGCTTTCATCAAGCCTTGCTTGCTTTCAAAGCCGTCTGCAAATCAGATGGCCTCTTGGAACATGGAAGTACCTCCAAAACCCCATGGACCCTGCTCAAAAGGGGGGATTGAGGGGGCGGACACAAAAACACATTTTTTAACATCATCTATGAGGGCATTTGGGGAAAGGAGAAGGCTGTTGCAACCCTGGTTTATCTACATCATGTGGCAGTTGGGAATGGCCTGGGCCTTCGGTCAGTTTGGAATATGGTGATGAAAGACCACTGGGGAGAGTTCCAGCCTCTTCTGAGGAAACTCTCCCTGGATCCGGAAGATTGCAATAACTTTAGGTCACTGGCAAGCATTCCTTTCCTGGGCAAGGTTGTTGAGTGGATGGTGGCCAACCAGCCCAAGAGGCTCCTGGATTAGATTGCTTCAGTGCATTGCAGCCAGGGCTCAGGCTGGGTCTTGGCATGGTAACAGCCATGGTCACCTTGTTTGGTGACTTATGCCAGGAAAGAGACCTTGTGGACTTTTCTTGATCTCTCTGTGGCTTTTGATGGCATCTTTCTGGGAAGGTTTCTTGAGTTGGGACTGGGAGTGTGTTTGCCCCTACTTGGATGGTAGGATCCAGCAGATGGTTCTTGGAGAATTACTAGTGGATTCTCTGGGGTAATTTTGGCAGGCTTCCCTCTACCCAGATCTTCACATCTGTCTTGAGGTTAGACAAGTCCTCTTCACCTTGGTGTCTTCCAAGTATTTATGACCAGAACGTCTCCATTCCTGATTTTGGGCATGCGTTTAATAGGAATCAAAGTTCAAAACATATGGAAGGACCAATTAGCTTGGGAAAATTAGCTTATGCAGCTTTTACTGACTTTTATTGTGCTTGTACTTCGTTAATCCTTTTATGGTTAGTATTGCTCTTCAGTTTCATATTGTTTTACTTCCTGTAAGCCCTGCTGAGAATTTTATTATAGAGCTGCCTATAAATACTCTAAGTAGGGAGGTAAACATGAGATGAATAAAGTTCCACATTTAGCTCTATATGAACCGCTCCCTCAGCCAACTCTAAAATTCAAGCTTGCTTTGTAATAAAGAACCGTCTTTTAGAGAAAAATATAGACATATTCAGCTAATACCTTCTCCATACATCAGAAACGCTCTTCGGAACATTTAGTAAATTGCAGCCTTCCCTTCGCATGAATACAATTGAGTTTTGAAGATACAAGTGGCTTGCATGATAATAGCCCTTGGCTAGGCATTTGAGTGCGCACTGGCACTGAAAACAAACTTTGAGTGCATCCTTTATTGTTCAGAAGAAAAGCTCTGATAGCCCTGAACAAAATTGGACTCCTCCACCTTTTTGCAAACCCACCGCTGCATGTTCCCCCCATCAAGGCACACAATACAATGTGCATCAGGGTCTCATGTCACACAGACATGGAGCAAAAGAGAGAGATGCTCTTTTAAAAATGTCCTCTTGCCAAAAAGAAGAAGAAACAACATCGCCGTGCTCTTTTTATCACACAGAAACAAAAAAAGACATCCTTCTGCAGACTGGCATAACATGACCATTACTGGAAGAGCGTATGAAGGGTTTCAAGAATAGACCCCTGCTGCCAACAGAGCTCAGTTCCTAGTCTGACTCATCCAGAAAACAAGCAATGGGGTTGCTTTGACATTATCTGAATGTGTGTCCCTGCGAGATTTTTCCTGGGGGAAGAGAAGCAAGCCTGCACAGTAGCTAGTTGTTGGGTTCACTCTGGGTTGTTTCATTCAGGAAAAGCCTGGTGTGCCTGCTGGGTTTAGACATCATACTAACCACCCATGAATGGGGAAATCACAGGTTGTTAACTGGAAGTAGTGAGCAACTTATTGGAGGAAGCTTGCTCAGTCCTGCTCCAGCCTGGCCAATGGTGGTTTAATTAACCCACACTACCCATGATGCGCAATCCAGGTGCTTAAATGCCGCCGTCACTTCCCCAACTCGACATCAAGATGCATTCTGGAATCACGTGTGCTGGCCGTTTTTTTCCATTATAGAACAAAGACTCTCAAAGGTCTCATCACAATTTTATCGCAGTCAAGGAGGAAATGCTGTGGAAGACTAACTCCAAGTATTAGACTGGACTATCTCTGGATGGGGAAATAAATATCTTATTGCTGACAATATTACACTTTGCACATTGGAATTTGAGGAGGACTTTCTCCAAGCTATATTTGTTTTCCATCTCCGGCATCTAGGAACTCTAAGTGGGAGTGGTGGGTGTTGCCCGTCTTTATCTCAACTGCTATTAAGTGAAATTCTTTCATATCTCAGGGAAATAGCAGTGGCTCAGGTTGCACTTCTTCATTTGCATTTATTTGCATAGATGGGTTGTGTTTGTGTGCTACACTTGCACGGCCTATCTGTCTTAACGACTCAAATTTTGGCAGACCTGTTGTGATTTCGTCAAAGTATCCCGGTCCTTTCAGCTCAGCAGGGGATGAAAGAGGCTGCAGCAGACCACCAAAAGAAGGAGAGACACAAACCATTAACTTCCCGAAAGACCTTTGTACAAAGGTGCAGGCGAGGGGGATATGAACTGGCAAACAAGAGAAATGCCAGCCCAGGGTTCTTTGGTGGATGGTCCCCCCAGTGTTTGAGTGACTGATCTGACATGTGGAAAACTTGTGCATTCGGGCTCCAGCTTGCTAACCCTGTTTAGGGACATCAGAGTAAAATTTATAAATGTTATCCTAGGTTCTCATGCATTTGGTTCAGATACAGAAAAAGTCTGTTATGTGTTCTCAGAACTGGATGCCATACAGTATCAAGATTTGCACAAACAACAAAGAAATTTAGAGTAAACTGCGTTGATATTTGGCAGAACCAGGGACCCTGGGCCCAAGGAACGGTATCTATAGTCTTTTAATGTTTATTCCGTGGCAATGGATTTTTTGACACAATTTTCTTTTAGTCGCAACCTTCAGCTTCCATCATAAATGCGTGAAGCTGACGTGCCTAGCAACAATTCTTGTTTTCTGTATTGCAACTCTTCTACTGAATTGAAGAATATAAAAGGGAAAACATAAATAAGGAACCCAAAAGATGTAGTAGCAATCTTCACTTAACAGGCAAAAGACATGCTATCTAAGCAAAACTAGAAGGTCTGAAGATAGAGGGACCAAATTTACTTATTTAATTTCTATACCACCCAACAGTCAAAGAGCGAATTCTTCAGTTCATGCGTTAATTGAGCACAAATGAGATTCTCAAATGGATTACCTACCAGCCTGCTGTGAATTCCACATGGGCATCAAAGAAGCCAGTGATCTGACCTGATGCAACTTTCCAGCCTTCGATGCGAGCCCGGATCAGGCCTTCCCTTTTCAGGTTGCGTACTACCTTCACCAGGCCAGGGTACCTCTTGTTGACATACTCCTCTAGAGGTGCCTTCAACTCCTCTAGAAGAAGAAACAACCACACAAGCTGAATAGATGAAAGAACCTTGCAGGCCCGTTTGGGACTTCTGAGATCCTCTGCTTAGGGAGTCCCTTGGCCAGACAGCTCAGCACAATCTGGGAAGCTCTAGGCAGAATGATCTCCTGACTGGTATTTGGCTTGAGTTCCACTACAACTTGTTCCTTTTCACAGGTGTCACCCCATCCATCCATCTTTCCGCATCTACCTTTTCCTACCTATATGCAATATGTTCATTGTTTAGCCACATAGCACTACTTTTTCCTCTTATGAATGGGTTAAACTGGCTGTAGACAGGATCATGCCAGTCTGCAAAACCAACAGTCTGATACAGACTGCTAGTGCAACAGGGTACAGCCTGCAAACCAACTTCAGATCATGATTTCTGAGTCTCGAGTTTGCCAGCTGTCCACAAAATATGGTTTGCCATCAAAACATCACACAAAGTTAGCCTTGTTACAGGCCTTGCTAAATCCTTGGTTGGAACCCAGATTTGCTTTGATCATAACGGCTTCACACAGTACAAGCTGAATATCATCTTTGCCCATGATATGGACACACAATTGACAAAACTATTATGCAATATGATATAGCACAGCCAGGGAAATGGAGTTAAATCACAACTTGGGATTGGAGGTGACTTCAGGCTTTTCTTGACTCCATGGAACAACAGCTGAGCGAGGTGCTGCCATAGTTTGTAGACTTAGCCTCTGTCTAATATGCAGAAAAATTAGAAAGGGTCCAGAGGGGGGCAACAAAAATGATCCAGGATTTGGAAACACTTCCCTGGGAGGAGAGACTGAGAGAACTGGGCATGTTCAGCCTTGAGAAGAGTGAGGTGGGACATGATATCTCTCTATAAGTACCTCAAAGGCTGAGATCAAAGTCAAGATCTCTTCTTGCTGACAACCAGAGTGTAGGACACAGAATGATCAACTCAAGTTGTGACAGCCCAGTTTCAGGCTAGATATCAGGAAAATTTTCCTCACTGTCAGAGATATGCAACAGTGGAGAGGTGGTGGGTTTTCCCACTCTAGAGACATCCAAAAAGAAACTGGACAGCCATCTGAATGGGATGGTGTGACTTGGCATCCTGAAACAGCAAGGGTTTGGACTCAATGGCCTTCATGGCCCCTTCCAACTCTGCAATTCTATGATAACATCCCAAGAACAAGCTTTGTGAGCTCTGCTTGGGACCCCTTTCAACAGATTCAGCGTTCAGCAATGCTGAGATGGAATGATAACCAGGAAAGAACATAAGGACATCAGAAAGAGTCATGCTGGATCAGGCTCATGGTTCATCCTGCCCAGCACTGTGTCCAGACAGTGGCAAGCCAGCTTGGTGCAGGACCCTTGCAGGAGAATGGGTACCAAACTTCCACCTGCCCGAACTCCTCAGCAAGGATGTACACAGGTATCCCTCTTCCGACAATGGAGTCAGCACAAAGCCAGCGACAGCCACCCAGCTCACAGCAGCCGAATGGTTCAATTACGATTACTGTCGCATACTGCAAAGTGCTTCATTGTGGATACAGATGCCGAAGGACTGAGGCATGGTTTTCATTAAATAATTAAAAAATAATATGCATCTAAGTTAGGCAGACAATCAAAAAAGAATGGGCTGTTTTTTTCCTCCCGGTGTAACATTCTTTTCATTCTCCAAGCGTTCTGTATCTGCTAACAGCAGTTCTTCATCCTTTCTATCTTTCCTCTGCATCTTAAGAAACACATTGGTCTGCTCCCTTCTCTCCAGTAGAAAAACCAAAACCAAAACCCACCCTGTAGTATGTCGTGTTTTGCAGTCAACATCTGGGAAACTAGGTTTCCCAGCTTCCATCCTTCTTGCCCCAAAGAAAAAGTATTGAAGTATCCAGAGGTAAAATGAGACTGAAGCTGCTATCAACAGTCTTCCCAAACCTGGAGTCCTCCTGGTGGACTGGACAACAACTCTCAGCATTCCTGACTATTAGCCAACCTGTCTGCGTTGAAGTCCAAAATATTTGGAGGATGCCAAGTTGGGGAAGGCCATGAAATAGGCTGGCCAAAGTTGAGATTCCCAGCCAGATGCAGTGGAACAGGCTGTTAAGCACACAAAACCAAGTGATTGCTAGAAATGGGGGTGCCCCCCCCCGCCACACACACAAAATCCCATCCTCATAGTTTTTCTGTCAACCATGGTGAGGTCTGGTTCTATTGAGCTCCTGTACAGGTTACATTTCAGCCCCTTACTGTGCAGGAGGGACCTGCTGTGCATAAAGAATTCCTCAGGGCAGCCCCACTAATGTCTGTAGATAAAAGGCTCAGAGCAGGTAAAGGAGAGGACACCTGCTGGGCATCTCAAAGAGGTGCTACACACTGCCGTGTTGGACTAGACGAGAGGTTCTTGGGCTGCGAGGGCAGCAGGCACGCATCCTGCCCCTTGGTCCTCGTGATGACATCTACGTGACCAGGATCCACCTCTGGTGGACACCAGCCTCTTCAATGTTCTTCCCAGATGTTGCCAGACTGAAGATAGGAAGCATTCCAGCCTTACTTCTCCTACCTCCATAATTACCTCTCCATATTGCAGTGGGTGGTGGGTGGGAGATTTAAGGTGCAATTCTGTGTCTATTAAGACCAAAAAAGTCCTCTAAGGCTCAACATTCCCCACCCAACGTGACTGTTGGATAGATTCAGGGAATTCCAGGTCTTTTTTCTATCTTTTTCAGGTTCTATCCTGAATCTGTTTCACTTATGACTATTTCACAACATCTACCGTGTAGTTCATTTCATTTTCTATTATGTGTAAGAAAAAAGGAGGGGAGGGGGAATAATATTCTAGTCCTATTACAGGAGGAATCACCTCCTTTCAAATGATTATGATGCTTAATGGATTAATTACTGTAGCAAAGGTGCATGTATTTGCCAATGAACAAAAATCCACTTGAAAGGGACACACGTGTGGCCCCTTTCCAACGTTCGAGGAGAACTCCACACGAGTGCGGTCACTGTAGCAGCATATCACCCCCTCCCTTGCACACTTCATTCTTCCCCCGGCCGGAGCATGTCCTGGAAGGATTCGCCTCCCAAGATAACTGGTTGGCTCACCTTCATCACTGTCATCGTCCACGAGGATGATCTCCTTCAAAAGGTGAGCCGGCGTGTGGTTGACCGCACTGTGGACCGAACGCAGGATGACGGACAGGGCCTCATTCACAAAGATAAAGATGATGGAGATCTGAGGAAGATCCTTGGGATATTTCAGTTCTTTACACCTGTGAAACAGAGGGAAGCTCAGCCCCAAAGACTTTGCACGGCCAAAGGAAGCGGAACACACAAATGCTGCTTTAAGCTTGGGACGGACATGGCTTCACTTCCAGGTCACTTCTCCATGGGTTCTCGCATAAATCTAGTCCCCATGAATTCACAGGTGTTTTTTTTTTTTTTTTGCAAATCTGCACTCTTGTGCATTGAAATGTAGATTTTCAGGTACATTGGAAAGATGTGTTTATCCAGCTAAAGGGAAAACCTATATATTTATTTATAAAATTTGTATGCCGTCCATTACTTGCATCTCTGGTTGGCTTGCAACAAAAATCAGGATAAAATAAATAAATTGACTATTCCATGCTGGCTGTAATTAATAAAATACAAGCAATAAAATGCAATTACTATTAATACATATTAAAATATTGATTAAATAAAAAGGTCTTAACCTGGCGCCGAAAAACATATAATGACAGCTCCAGGAGGACCTCTCTGGGGAGCGCATTCCATAGTAGGGGTGCCACCGCAGAGAAGGCCCTCCTCCGGATACTCTGTCTCCTGACCTCTTTCACAGAGGGCTTCTGCTGCCGATCTCAGGGGGTGGGAGGGCAAATAGGGAAAAAGGCGTTCCTTCAGGTATCCTGGTCCCAAGCCATTTAGGGCTTTATAGGTAATAACCAGCACCTTGAATTGAGCCCGGCCTTCAATGGAAAGCCAATGGAATGGAGCTGATAGAGGACTGGGGTTATATGAGAATAATGCCCAGTCCCCGACAGCATCCTGGCAGCTCTATTTTGAACCATCTGAAGTATCCAGACTGTCTTCAAGGGCAGCCCCACATAAAGCATGTTACAGAAATCCAACCGGGAAGTAACCAATGCATGTGTCACTGTCACCAGGCAATCCTCCTCCAGGTAGGGACACAGCTGATGGATTAGCTGAAGCTGAAGGAAAGCGCTCCTCACTAACGTGGTCACCTGAGCTTCCAGGGACAGCTCCGGGTCGAGGAGCACTCTCAAGCTACAGACCCTGTCCTTTAAACCTACACCACACATTGGGGAGGTACAGTGACCCACGAAGAACTAAATTCACATCTATACAACAGCCCAGGAGGTACAAAACGCCTCAGTTCAAGCTGAAATCCACAAATATCTACTGTTTCAAGCACCCCTAACTTTGAGGCATGTAAGGGGACACAACATCCAACTGAGGAATTGTTCACGGACATTGCCACACTGAGACCCAAGCGCGCATCTTAGTAGTGTTACTAAGACCCTATATGATCACAGAATTGTAGCTATCAAACTCATCCTTGCCTCCTCTGAGGTGCTAACCATGCACATTTAGCTCCGGAACGGACAACTTCAATGAGAATTATGGTTGTAACTCCCATTGGCTGTAACTCCCATTGAAGACTATGGCCTTCCTGGAGACCTGGAGCTTGAGTCATCGGAATAAAATAGGATTTAAGGATGTTGGCAGAGAGGCATAAGCGGTGAAGAAGCAGCCAACAAAACAAAACAAAACAAAAAACCCCAACCAAAAAACTTGAGGCTCATTTACTTAATTAAGCTAATAAAAGATAAAACAAGTTTAATGAGAACAGGCCAAGATAAGGTGACAACAGCGGGGAACAGAGCAGTAACTGGAAGAGAAATTGTCGAAATATTTCTGAGGAATGAAGAAACAACGCTTTCCACTGTGTTAGACAATATGGGAAGATGCAAATATGTTTTAATTGCCAAGGAAAGATCTCTCCCTCTTTCCATTTGTAATTCCATTTTTGTTTCCCCAGAAGCCTAGTGGAAAGCAATGTAAAAGCTGTATTTGGCTAATGGCATTGTTGACAACCTAGGAGTGAGTACGAGAGAGAGCGAGAGCGAGAGCGAGAGAGAGAGAGAGCGAGCGCAAGCACTCGAGACTCTCCATGAGGCCCTTTAACGAAGGATAGATGGAACGTGAGAGCAAACTGGGGAACGGCAGTCACAACAAGCCAGTCATCCATAAAAGAAAAATTAACGTCCTGCGGCCAAAGGTGAGTGGCGAGCACAGCATGCCCTTTGAAACAGTACCAAGGTTGAATGATAGTATCTAAAATTGACAGCAGTGGCTCCCAGTGGCAAAGCTGAGCTCATGAGCTTGTGCAAATTACCAACCCTGGTTTTGCTCTTCGTTTTTGTGAGAAGATGGCTCTTTCTCCAGATTGCCTTATGTATTCATTACACTTGTTCCCCAGCTTTTCTACTTACTTGCAAGGGCAAATAGAAGGGTGGAAATAAGTGTTCTTAAGATCTGTGGAGGCATAGCCGTCTCCTTCCCGAGGAAAAATGCACTATATGGAATTTCCAAGATGGATACAACATTAACGTTTCTGGAGCTGCAAATAAGGCTTCATGGAAAGATCAATTCATTCAATAGCCGCTTCCTGGAGCAATCTCCCAGAAGGGAGATGGAAAGGCATCACTGTTCCAGAAGGAGAAGTGAGCTGAACTGTATCATATCCAAACTGCACGATGGTAAGAATTCATCTGGAAGTAGGGCAGCTTTAGGGACCCTGCCTAAATGCCTCGGCTGACCCAGGGGCTCAGTACAGGCACAGAGTCAGAAAGGCAGGCTATGAATCAAAAAGGCAGTGTGGTACAGTGGTGGGAGTACTGGGTCGGGATCTGGGTTCTAGTCCCCACTCAGCCAAAATGCTGTAGGCCAGTCACAGGCTCTCAACCCAACCTACCTTGCTGGGTTGCTGCGAGGATAAGTCTGAGAGTGAAGCTTAGAGTGAGGATTCTCTAAGTAGCTTTGTGTCTCTCAAAAGGTGGGTATAAATATATACGTATATAAACGAATCCAGAGGAACAGCCCATCTTCTCAATAACTTAAAGCAAAAGCCAAATTTATACATGCTTACCGACTTTTTTCTCTATTCAGTGCCCACATTTTAGAGTGACATTTTACCTAACTTAAAATGTGTTTATATTAGAAACATCAAAAGAGTGAGTTAGAAAGGGTCTCCTGGGCCACCTAGTCTGACCCCCGGCTCCAGCTGGCTCCACTCATAACACGCCTACCATGTGCATGCCAAAACAAGTGTTTATCTATTATATTTATGTCTCCACATTCTCCCATTGTAGAACTCAAGGTGCCCAGTTGGTCTCCCCTCCAAGCTCAGGCCAGCCTCAGACCTGCTTAGCTTCAACAGGGTGGAGGCCTTATCTGCCTTCAGACCATCCGCCGGGCCCTCCTATTCTCATCAGTAGTAAGGTGTCTGTGCTTTTATTCTATTTTGCCTGTGTGTGTGAGAGAGAATTTTAGCATCATTGCTGAAAAATGCCAACCACTGTTTCCCAAACAACACACACAGGTGTGCACCCTTTATCTTCCATGATGGAATATGCCTTCTGATAAATTCTTGCTGGAAAAGAAAGGAAGGAACCCTCAGCCACTCTGCCAGTATGTCTACTCCCCAATGAAATTGTCCCCTTCTTCAAAATCCTTCAATATTCCTTCTCTTCCACCATCCTCGTGGACACTTGGCCAAAGGATTCTGCTTACCTCCCGTGTTTTTCTCACACTACGAACCAAGTTACTGTTCAGACTCACGACCTGTGTTCAACCTCTATTTCGAGAAGCTGCAGGAAAACTCACTTGGTTGGGCGATAGTCTGGTATGGAACGGTCCAGAGATATTTTCTCGCTGAGGTACGAATTATAGCCATATTTCTCATGCGCTCCTCTGGCTTTCTCTTCCTCCTCTGGGGAGAGGGTGGCAGGCAGCCCGCCTTTGCCGCGGCCACCGTAGCCTTCAATAAGCCCCAAGGATTTGGAGAGGCCTACAGAAAACAACAACGAAAGAGAGCTTTAAAGAAAGAAGCTTGAAGCTACAGTCGCCATTGCTGCTATAAGCTCAACAAAGAAAAGTATAAGGGAAGGAAAAGGGAAAACCCATAGGGCTTTGCACCCACTGAAGCCAACCTTCTCACTCCCCAAAGCATTAGATTTTAAGCCCCTGCGTCAAGCCAGATCTCATTTTCTTCCGCTGCAGCGGGATTTCCCTTTGAAAAACAGCCTTCTAGTGGCAGTGCTTCACATGTGATTTGCAATTCATGGTTTGTAAAAGCTTTTAAGGACTACCGCATATGTTCTCCAGCCCTGTTATGAGAAAGACGCATGTCCAAAACTTTGGGAGCTTTTCCATTTTCTAGTCAATACACTGATCGTAAATTTACTGCAGGGGGATGCCGTTGCAGAGATGGATCTCAGCACTCAGGCAAATGCACCTGAGAATCAGCAAATGGCAAACATGTGCAGGAAGCTGCAGAGATGAGCCGCTCACAGTCCTGACTCGGATTATGTGGCCTCCAGAGAAATATTGCCTTCTCTAGGACAACCACATGGCATGTTCTGTGTTGGATCAAATAAGACATGAAACAGGCACCCAGAGAACCCCCTTGTCCTTCCTTCAAGGCATCTCCAGTCCTTTCCCCACCATGGCTCACTCTGGGCAAACACCACCGTTGGTTGCATAGCCAGAAGCGTGGCTTCTAGATCAAGGGAGGTATTACTACCACTCTATGCGACTCTGGTGCGCCCGCAACTGGAGTATTGTGCTCAGTTCTGGGCCCCTCATTACAGGAAGGATATAGCAAGTTGGAATCAGTGCAGTGAAGGGTCACTAGGATGGTGACTGGCTTGCAGGGGAAGCCAAATGAGGAGAGATGGAGGGAACTGGGTCTCTTCAACCTGGAGAAGACTCAGAGGGGATCTGTTGGCGACATGCAGGTACGTGTGGGGTGTCACACGGAGATGGGTAGAGACCTGTTCTCCCCTGCAGAGGAAGGCAGGACGCGCTCCAACGGAGCAAAGCTCAGGGAGCCAAGGTTCAATTCAGATGCCAGGAAGCACTTCCTGACAGTCAGGACCCCGAGGGTGTGGAATGGGCTTCCATGAGAGGTCGTTGAGGCCCCATCGGTGTGGGTGTTCAAGGATAGGCTGGACATGCACATGGTGGGCATGTCATGAATGGTGCTATCTGGAGCCGGGGGGTCAGACTAGATGGCCCGAGAGGTCCCTTCTGACTTTCTATGTTTCTAAGTAGCTGTCTTGACATGCCTACCCAAGACCTGAGCTCTTCCAGCTGCAGCTTTCCAAAGATCTATCGGGCCCTTAGATTCTCTGCCCTTTCTCCCTGACTGTCCCATATGCTCGGATCCGCTTGCACATTGTCACACAATACCCTCTTTTCTATCAGACATTAGTATTGAAGGCAGCTACTGAAATTTCAGTGAGTGATCAGATTTCCTGGGATTCCCTTGCACACTCCCTGTAAACCAAAATGCCAAGTCGGCCATTGAATTGCAGGTCTTACCAAAGCGCTGTGCAAATTTTAGCATCATTGGTGAAAAATACCAACCAGCCATCCACTGGTTTCCAAAGAACAAGCTAAACGAAGTCTTTGCTTAGGTGAAAGGACAATATATGAACCCAAAATAGGTATGCTGATTAATTTGGAGTACAGTGCATCGCTTCCTATGTCACCAGATGGATAAACACATAGTTTGTTCAAGGTTTTGATTTAAATTTATGACCTAAGCTTAGAACAGAGCCCTGTAGCTGCAGTGAGATGCCTCCTAGCATTCTTCCACTTCCTTGTGCATGCAGATCACATTCTATTCAGCTGAGTAATATGGCACTCTGCAATAGCACTGAGGAACAACTCATCCTTCCTGCCAACATAATTCATTTGATGGAGATCATCTGTAACTTTGCAGAGTGTTCTCTAAGCCACTGTTACCCAGTGAAGGATCTGGCACTCCTACTGGGTTGGATCTGACACAGATGGGCCGTAGCAGTGAGACTCTGTGCCAGGGAGTTTATACCCTTAATGAAATGGAGGAGACTGCCATCAGATAAGCGAGCAGACTTTTGCAGAAGATATTCTCCAGGTGTTTGGTGAACTGAATATCAATTTTACTCATGATTATGCTAGTGCCACACTGAGGTGAGTGGGACCCATGGACGACCTATGAATCAAAGCAACCTGGAAGCTGCAAAGTAAGAAACGGAATGGTTACACATCACAGTACTTGGTATGCAAGAAGTAAAATGGACTGGAATGGGGTGTTTTCAGCCAGAAAAAACAAGGTGTTTTACACCAGAAATAGCACTCAGAAGAAATGGAGTGGCTCTAATACCGCAGCAAGACGTAGCACTTTAGCAAAGCTCAGCCAAAGCTATTAATCATAAATCGCAGAAAAGCTATCCATGCAACCGTCACTGCCTGCATCCGTTCATTTCATTTCTATACCGTCCCATAATCGAAGCTCTCTGGGCAGTCAGGGTCAAGTCTATACTCCAACAACAAATGTCCAAGGAGAAATTAAAAATTTACAAATTGTTATACAAGGATCCAAGAGGAAATTGATAACGTGCCAAACCAAGAGATGTGGATCATATGGGGCAACTATTATTATTATTATTATTATTAGAACATTTCTATGCCGCCCCTTGCCGAAGCCTCGGGGTGGCTTACAACACAATAAAATACAATAAAATACAAAAATAACAATATAAAATTAAAATTAACAATATAAAATAAATAAAATATATAAAATATATAAACTAGAACACAAAGGCAGGAAATGGCATCGACCAATGTAGTGAGAGAATTTGGCCTAGGAGTAAGAAAGGAAGCAAAATGGCACGCTGAATTCGGTGAAGGCAAGAATTTATTTATCACAAATACATACTTCAAGCAGCCAGTCAGATGACTGTAGCCCAGGGGTGTCCCCAGGGAGTCTGTACGGATATCAGACAGAGTGGGGAATTCCGGAAAATACAGGCCAGCTAAGTGAAAGTCTGTAAAAGTGAAAGTAAATTAGTTGAAAGCATCATTGATGGTAAAACCGGTAAGCAGGATAAGCCCTGTTGAAAAAGAATCAGTAAGGCAGCTCACTAATTTTTTGGAATTCCTTGAGAGCGTTAATAAATGTGCAGGAAGGTGATACGGTAGCCGTTATTTTGCAAACAGGCTTTGGACCAAGTCCCTCACCAAAGGCCCGCAAGAAATTTAGCATTCATGGAGTCATTTTACGGATCGGTAACTGGTTAAAGAACAGAAAGCAGAGAGTCAGAATAAGAGGGTCACAATTCTCCCAATTGTGGGCTCCAGTGATCTGTGTAGGAACCAAGATCTGGAACTAGGAGCAAATGATAAACTGCCCATGTTTGCCGAGGACACAAAGTTATTTTGGGTGATTGAAGCAAAATTGGGTTGTGAGATGTTCCCAAAGGATCTGTCCAAACTGGGAGAAAGAGCATCAATTTGGCAAATGCAGTGAGCTCACAGTGACTAACCATGAAAGAGATCTTGGAATTGCAGTAGGCAGCTTAATGAAACAATCAACCCAGTCTGCAGCTTCTCTGAAAAAGGAAAGAGCCTTCTCTGGCATAATTAGGAGACAAAGTCAAAGTCAGACTGCCAAGATCACACTCTGCTTACACAAATCAATATGGCCGCCATACTCAGAATGCCACGTGCGATTCTTATCACCAGATCTGAAAGGGAGATGGCATCAGGAAGGCAAACGCTAGGAATGAGCTGAGGCTATGAGGCATCCTAAAAGCAGCAAAAAATTGTCTTCTTCAGATAAGTCCAAAGTAAAAGCCAGAGGAAAGAAATAGGTGTTCGAGTACTCAATACGGATGGCAAATCTGATCACAGATGACCAAGGAAAGGCAGCAGCGCTCAGCTTCTACCTTGGCTATATCTTCTTCCAAAAGAAGATGAGGAAGAGCAGGGGATGATGATGATGAAGAGATTTATTTATTTATTTTTGGACTTATTGTCTGCTGTATCAGCACCAAGGCTCTCTAAGTGGATCACAATTTGTAAAACACACAATAAAAATATTTTGTATTTTATTTGATGTTGTAAGCCGCCCTGAGGCCTCGGCAAGGGGCGGCATAGAAATGTTTTAATAAATAATAATAAATAAATAAAATAAATAAAAATACATGAGATGAGACCAAACTGAGTGGGACAGCTCATATCGCAGAAGACAAAAAGAAGATTCAGGGTGATCTTGATAGGTTGGAGCACTGGGCTGAAAACATTAGAATAGAATGGAATTCAGCCGGGACAAATGCCAAGTTCTGAACCTAGGGAAAGGAAAATAAATGCATTGTTACGAGAAGAACAACACTTAGCTTAACAATACTGCAAGTGAGAAGGTTCCGGGAAATGTTGCAGATCGCAAGCTCAATGTGGGTCAACTATGTAATGTGGTTGCAAAAAGAGCAAATGCTTTTTTAGGTTGCATTAACAGAAGGATCACTTGCAAATCCTGTGAAGGACTAGTTCTTCTGTACTCAGTGCTAGTTAGGCCTCACCTGGAGTCCTTCAACGGTCTGGGCACCACCGTTGAAGAAAGATGCAGACAAGCTGGAAAGGGTTCAAGAGGAGGGTGACAAGAGTGATCCGGGATGAAACAAAGCCCCATGAGGAGAGGTTTAAAGAACTGGGCATGTTCAGCCTTGAGAAGAGAGGAGAGATACGACAGCATTCTTCAAGTGCTTGAAAGGCTGTCACAAAGGGGAAGGCCAGGATCTCTTCTTCATCATCCCAGAGTGTAGGACTTGCGATAGCAGCCTCAAGTCACAGGAAACCAGATTCCGGCTAGATATCAGGAAAAAATTCCTGACAATGGAACCAATTACCAGGGGAAGTTGTGGGCTCTCCCAGCCTGGAGGCATCCAAGATGCAACTGGACAGCCATCTGAGAGGGATGGTTGAACTGGGAGTCCTGCTCTGAGCAGGGGTTGGACAACTTGC